ACCCACCGCCGCCGCGCGAGATCCGAGCTACCGTTTCGGATTCACGACGAGTTCACGGATCCTATATCGCCTTCCAAGAACTTCGATGACGTCGGATCTGAGGACGATCTGTTCTGTATGTTCATGGACATTGAGAAGATCGGATGTAGGTTAGAAGCGAGCGGATCTGGATCCGTTAGCTGTAGGCCTGACTTCAAATGCACCCAATCTGTAACTATAAACTCTTCACATCACTCAACAAAATTTTCCTCTCAACAGTCTAAATCTCATAGCTCGTAAGTTCGTTTCTTCTCCCCAGAACTCTGACCTTTTCTCCCCATGAACCCTTCATCCCCAAATCTCCACTTATGGAAAATCTCCATTCGAGCCAAATCCAGGCTCTTCGATCTCAGACTCAACGCCTCAAATGTGTTCCCTAATCTTGGAAATGGCGGCGAAAGAATCTCCTTCCTTCTCCGCCTCCTCCGCCTCCTTTTGCTCAAAGTGAAATCAGAGATCGAGTTTCTTCAGGTTCGTAGGCAAGATTTTGAGGAAAAGCAGCGCCGAATGGATCCTCATAATAGATCGCGAGCACGAGATCATGGCACTGGAACTCGGCATAGACATGATGACTATTTTCTTGATCAGGTAACTTCCACCCCTTTTAAAGATTTCGGCATTATTTCTTGGCATATGTATAATCAAGGAATATATGGAAAAGGTACCTAGTTTATCTACAATATGCATATTTAGCCCGTGCTAAACACGGGCTTGCTTGTATTTTGTTTTGTATCTCAGATTCTCACTGTACCCATTGTACACCTTGCTGGTGTTGTTGTGATCTTCCTATAATTTGCTAAATCTGTATATCTTACGATTTTCGGATAAATGACGGAATTCCTGATAAAAGTACGTATCATTTGTCTTCAGATAATGCGACTTGATATATTAAAATTGTCACAGAGTTACATAATTAAAATCTTGGAATAATGATAATTTCATTAGAGAGTTGATTGAGAAAAATATCCTAGTTATCTAGAATATGCTCTTTACCCTTTTCCAAATAGGCATACGTCACTAAACCCCCTTAAGTTTGGGCGTTTCTCAGATACTGCCCTTAACTTTTAAGATGTCACAAAACCCCTTAAGTTGTGGGTTCTCAGCAAGCGCTCTTCAACTTTGAACATTTTACAAAACACCTGTTAAATGCATGAACCACTATTTTCACTGGCGAACATATCCCCCTCCTTAATTTTACTCACCCATATGTAAATTGCGGTTAGCGCCAGTAGTTTTTTTTAATCTAATATTGAAAGTTGAATGATATTTCCTGAGAACCCCAAAACTTGAGGGATTTTGTGACTTTTTGAAAGTTAAGGTGGTTATCTGAGAAACGTCTAAACTTAGGGGTGTTTTCTGAAAGTCACCCTTTCTTTATGAATATTTTCCAAGTGTGCAATGCAAATTAAAGAACGTAGTTTGCTTAACGAGTTTGTATACTAATAAATACTTAATCAATATGCTGGGCCCTATGGCGGCCATTGCTGGAAGTTTTTCTCTTCTCACTCACTCGACGTCTGAGAGGAATCATGAAAGGATTAGCATTCATGCTTTCTCCCTTTTCTTTTACTTAGTTCTTTTGTTTAAATTGAGGAAAACAAATTTTTCTTTGATGTTAGTTGCACCAACAATTTCTTTCACTGGATTTTCTCTAAGTTATTTGAGTTACACCTATACAGATATTGTGACAAAAGCTGCATGGAGGGCTTGGAACAATATCATTTCTATCGTGTGTTCATCTTTGTTTTCCCAAGTTGGTTCATCCTCATGTTATCTTTCCATATACGGATGTTATGGAGCATATTGGTTGAAATCGAAGTGTCAGTTTGCACTCATAAGCATCCTATGCATTTGCATTTATCATACTTTTGTGCTTATGCTTGCTTCGTGTCAAAAAGTAATCAAAGTAGCTTAAAGAATTACAACTCCAATAGGAAAATATAGGATAAAGAAAGATATCGATAGCCTTTTTCAATGTCACATTGTGTAGAGTGGGTTTTTCAACATTTTGAAGATCGATACTATAAACTTCACGCAGTTGAGCATGATTGTTTCACTGGTTAATAGATTGCTCTTTCATTTTTATCAGGTTTTCTTTAATAGCAGTATTAGTAACCATCAATGTTGCATTCGTGTCAGGAAAAGTTGGTTGAGATACATGTTTAGTTTATTGTACCCCATGTTTTGTACATGCTATTTCTGAAGTTCTGCAATGTTAGAGTAGTTGGCCAAACAACATATATCATTGTTTCTCCTTATTATTAAGTTTCATGGTTATTTTATAATTTTTCTTATGCTTATTTCGATGTACTACACTACTAGTATAATTGTAATCTCTGATCTTTGTTATAGATATGGTATCACAGAACATGGTAACATGCAACAAAGTTTGATGCAAGGAAGATCATGACAGTGTGTTTAACGATCATGACAGTGTGTTTGACAGTAAGATAAAATACATCGTAATTATCTGGTGACAATTAGTCTTAAACCAATCGTCCAATTATATAATTAACCATGCTCTGATTGGAGCAACTTCACGATGTGTACCACCCTGGACATGACTTATTTTTGTTTTATTTTGTATTAGCATTTTTTAAAATTTACTAAAACAAACTAAGAAGCATTGTCACCAGTAATAGGCAGGGCTTTTGTATTAGCATTTTTTAAAATTTACTAAAACAAACTAAGAAGCATTGTCACCAGTAATAGGCAGGGCATAGCAGAAAATCCAAAATGGGATTTACTAAAACAAACTAAGAAGCATTGTCACCAGTAATAGGCAGGGCATAGCAGAAAATCCAAAATGGGACTGCAATAACATGACAAAACTTTCATGTGTCACTCATATAGGATGCGTACAACTTGGTTTCAGCATCTGTAAAATGTTTGAAATACAGTCAGTTGGAGTATTTGAAATAAGTCATTTTTCCTAAGATGTTGCAGATATGCTAAGTGTTTGAAGTCAACTGTCACTTGTATCATGTATGATTGGCTGGATGAATTTTATAAACTTTTCAAGGAACGGACTTTCATATAAGATTATACATCATTTTCCCTTCTCATGACCTGATGAATACAGTTATTTTTCATTCTCATTAAATGATAAATACAGTCAGTTGCAAAATATCATTTTAACCTATCTCCTCTGTAATTGAATTCTAGGTGCTACTCTCAAGGATTTCACTTCTTTTTCAGAGGAATCTGATTCTGTGGCTTATTATTTCGGCTTTCATATCGTTCTTTCTATACAAGGTATCAAAATGAGATCACAAGCCTCATTAGTTTCTATTGTAACTCAATCTATAATTTATTGTTTTAAAAGAAGTTGATTGCCATAAATATTAAATATTTACCTGAGATAAGATACTCAGTACCAATTTTACTTTTAGGCATTTGAAAATGTTGCAATGAAAACAATACTGACTTTAATACCCTAATACTTCACGCGCTAAGTAGCCTATGCGTCAAAGTTGTTGAGAGCTTACTGGTATTTCTGAAAACTTGGATTGTGGTTTATAAATATTCATCTCTTGCACCAAACAGCTGCATTTGCATCTAGTTCATCCAAGGAAGTAGTTTAAGAGTGATAGACTAACAACTATTATCATTAAAAGCGTAGTCTGCTTATGATCCAAAATTGAGGACTCGAATTGTTGGATGGTTCAAAGTGGTTACTGAATCATTCTTGGAGAAAGAAGGATATCTTTGGCCATCATTCTTTCCAGGGTAAGAAATTGACGACTCAAATTGTTGGATGATACGGAGTGGTTACTGAATCATTTTTGGAGGAAGAACGATGGCTTTGGTCATCATTCTTTCCAGTGTAAATTTCATAAATCCCCAAGAAGTTTGGTTGATTTTGAGACGACCCTGCAAAAAGTTTTAAAATGTCTATTTTTATGATCCGAAACTTCAGACTTGATTTGTTGGATGGTTCGGGGTATTTACTGAACCACTCTTGGAGGAAGAGGATGGCTTTACCCATCATTCTTTCAAGGGTCAAGTTCATAATATCCTGAAGAAGTTGGCCCATTTTGAGGTGATCTCAAAAAGTTTAGAAACTTCAATTAACCCTCAAAAGTTTTAAATCCCAAAAATTTGAGGGCTATCTGAAAATAGGTTCAGATAACTGTAAAAGTTTGGGGATTAAGTGACATTTCTCAACCTTCTGGGGATTATCTCAAAATTGGCTAAACTTCTTGGGGGTATTGTGAAATTTACCCTTCTTTGAAAGTGAAAAGTTTGGGTATCTTCTTTGACAGCGAGAAGATCTACATGGCACGAAAAGGAGAGCTTGTTCACCCTTTTTTCATGTTTCCCATTAATCCATTGGTCCATAAATGTTTGTATACTGATGAGAACTAATCCTGTAGATCCTAATCCTTTAGATCCTAATGTCTATTATTCTAATCATGTTTATTGTGACTAGTCCAGTCATGTTGAGTGCAAATCATGGTTGCAAGATAATTTGATAATTGTTCAAATTTCTGTCTGTAGTATACGTGCAAGCTAAGCATGTATAAATATACCCGCAGTTCGAAATCTGGCTCTCACGCATTTTAAGACGGGAATGAATGCAAATTATGGTTAAAGGTGAAAATGCAGGATTGTCTGTTGTAACTTAAGGGTTAATTTTATCACTTTCAGATTTCAGGATGATTTGTGACGCCCCTTTAGAAGGAGACGAAAGAGTGATCAAAACTTCAAGTTTGTCATATGGTAGAAAACTTATAGAGAACTTATAATCTGATGGTTTTGTCCAGAATCCAATAAGCACCTGAGTCCTTGGTTCGTTGAAATTCTGAATTTAAATGAAGATGATGCTTTTGACAAGCATTTACTCACCTCAGGAACTATTCAATAATAGCAAACATCAGTTCATATAATTGATGCAAGAATTGTAGGTTTGATTTGCTATTAGAAGCAATTGTTTCCTTTTAAATGTGAATTCTATAAACTTCAACTGTTCAAGTCAACCAGATATTACTCTTAGAAACCAGTATGTCTTCGTGATTCCCTACATTATGATGCACAACTCTTAAGCATTTACAAGTCTTAATAGTAGTTAACCTGATTATTTGCGTGCACTAACTTGTCGGGTTGAGAAGAGAAATGTTATTCAGATGCATGAACTGTGCATTGGAAGCTGCTCCTATTTTAATCTCTATTCTGCTTCTTCCTTGCCAAGCATTATTCCATACTGTAAGCCCTAGCAAAGCTTAACTTCTTTTTTTCTTTTTAGCTACAGGTGGATTCAAGTCCATCAGAGCCTAAATTTAGCAGCGGCTGGGAGAATCTGAAACTGAAATTTTCTATCAAGCACAATTATACATGAAAGAGTAGGAGCTAAAACAGTACTCATACTGTTAAATGTGATTATTGACTTGTTTGTTGATTCTATCACGCAGTTTGGTGATCATAAGGACCCTGGAGTATTGGGACTCTACTTTTCTTCAATATACTTTTGGGGGAGGAAGTTGATCAAACTTATTGTTACACCACTATTGCAAAGGCACTAAATGCATTCAGCTCAGCTACATTTATATTTTTGAATGTGAAATCATGCAGCAGAATTAGTTTGAATGTGAAATATTGCAAATAACAATTCATTAAATTAGGAGAAGATTAGTATAAAATGTTAAAATACCTATTTGCTATTGTCAGTCTCTGGTTCTACTTCTATATTATTAAGTTTTCTAATGCCGAAGTGGTTACGATTACAATTGTTTTCTAAAATATAAAAGTAAGAGGACCTCAATTTATGTTATTGAGGGTAAGATGATCATAAATGAAAAATTAACTCCCGATATTAAAACGTGACTTAGCTTGTAATTGTGGTGTGGCATAGGGACTAGCTTGAGATAAAAAAATGTAGTATTGAGACCAACTTGAATATGAAGACCTGATATAAGTTGAATAAAAAAAGTAGTACGAGAACCACTCTGGGTGTGAACCGTTACTGAAATAAAGTCAAAAATTTATAAAGTTGAGGGGACCAATTTGAGTACGGAGCCGAACACAGAAATCAAACTGGCCTTTTACCTGTTTGTAATTAATTAAACATAATCCTCGTAGCTAAAATATAATGGATAAGAACTCATATCACGAAATTGTCATCCTTTATCATCTACATGTAGTTATTTTGCTAGCTAAATGGCACCTAAATACCCTAGTGTTTACTACCTTTACACTTAATACTCTTTAAGTTGTAAAAAGTTGCATAAAAATACCTCAAGTTGTTCACAGTTGGAATTAGACTAACATCATTAGTTTTGATAAAAATGCTCTCCATTAAAATATTAGTAATAAATTTAAATGGTAGGTAAAATGGTAGTTAAAGCAATAAATAGAGCAATACAATAATAAAATTCCCATGTAGTTTGCACATGAGGGGAGAGGTTCTAATAAAAACCTAGAAAACTAAAAACCAATCCTAACCCTACATTCTATTTCATCCAATGGTCAAGATTGAAAATGGCAGAATTGAAAATAAATACATATCAGATGACAAAATACCAGTAGAAGGGGTAATTTAGGAAAGAGTCATTAATGAAACACGCTGTAATTAATTACCAAAAGCTGTCAAAGACCGTCTTTCACGAAAAAGACGGTTCGGTTTCACTGTATCGTGAACCCAGTTTCATCTTCTCTCTACCCGAACAACTAAACTCTTCACATTCCGACGATTTCTCAACACTTAGGGTTTCTTTCAACAGCTCATTACAACTCGAACGAAGACGAACAGCAAGCCTTCGACGATCGAGATGAAGAAAAACAAGTCAGAGACTCCAAAACCCTCGTCTTCAAGAAGGGGTAAAACGATTCCAACCCTCGTATTAAAAATGTATATTTTTTATCAAAGTTTGTACATTTTTCATAGATTCAGTGAGGAAAAGTTTGAAATTTAGACATGAATCACTTGCATGTTGTTGAATACTTTTTTATTTTATTTTTTTAACTTTATAAAATGTTATCGATGCATGTTCTAGTTTAGGGTTTTTATTTTTTACAGTTTCCTTGATCTTGTTTGTATAAGTTAAGTTTTTTTTAATATTTTAAGATGTTTTCATTTGTTCTAAATGGGTAGAGATTAATTTTGGTTGTCTGGATTCTGCAATATGCACTCTAGTTGAATCTCCTCGATTCAGTTGAGTGAATCGAGATTCACTGTGGTGAATCGAGATTCACTAGAGTGAATCGCGATTCATTGGATGAATCTCTATTCACTCAAGTGAATCGCTGTTTAGTGGAGTCAATTTGTATTCACTCAAACATAGAGAATCTCGATTCACTAATGTGAATCCTTCGTAGAGAATTGAGATTCATATATTGGATGTTCTTACCAGTTACGGAAAAATGATTGCTCTTTAAACTTCAACTTTATCATAATTGTTTGTTTGTTTGTAAAAAATAACAAATATCATCCGAGGCCGAGTATATAGGATGGAAACTTTCCCAAATATGATCCGAGGTCGAGTATATAGGATGAAAAAATTATATGCTTTATGTATACTATCAGTGAAATTAAACTGTAACGATAATCAATTTTTCCTTGTTGTGTTGAGGGACGATACACTGAAACAATGTATGGTATGTCATGGATTTGGTTTCATATCATTGAATCTGGATTCAATTTGCTGAAGCTCGATACATTTTGTTGAATCTTTTCATATCATTGAATCTGGATTCAATTTGCTGAAGCTCGATACATTTTGTTGAATCTAGATTCAATTTGCTGAATCTCAATACATTTGGTTGAATCCACTATAGTGAATCGAGATTCACTCAAGTGAATCTCGATTCACTACAGTGAATCTCGATTCACTACATCGATTCAATAGAGTGAATTGAGATTCACTCAAGTGAATCGCGATTTAGTGGAGTTCTCGATTCACTACATCGATTCAATAGAGTGAATTGAGATTCACTCAAGTGAATCGCGATTTAGTGGAGTGAAATGAGATTCATTTCAGCGAATCTCGATTCACTGGAGTGAATTGCGGTTCAGATTATAATATCTTGATTCAATAATGTGATTCAACCTTCATACTTGCCATGCATTATTCAAAGTCTGGTCTCATTAAAAAATGAATTGTCATCGGTTTAACAGGTCTACGATCTAGCTCAAGGAACAAGCAAACAGCATGTGTTGGGATTGTTGAGGTATTTACACCTATACCTCAACAGAGGCAAACACGCACTGTGAACATGCCCAGCAGTGACGATGACTTCATCAACCCACCAAATAATCCTGTCGGTGAGGAAACATCAAAGCGTACAAGGGATGAAGACAATGAACAGACCCCAAAAAGGATGAAGACGAAAAGGGTTGGTGTACTAAACATCTCTTTTCACTTGAGCGAATCTCGATTCACTGCATTGAATCGAGATTCACTACAGTAAACATCTTGGTGTACTAAACATCTTTAATTTTTTTTGTGTATTCAATGATGGATAATTTGATCTAATTATATTATTTTTCTCACTGGAGAAGGTTGTGAAAAAAAAATATGTGAGGTCCAACAGTGACGATGACCTTGTCAACTCCCCAAATAATCCTGGCGGTGATGAAACATCAAAGCGTAGGAGGGATGAAGACAATGAACAGATCACAAAAGAAAGGAAGAAGAAGAAAAAGGTTGGTGTACTAAACATCTTTATTTTTTTTTGTATTAACTGATGGATAATTCGATCTAATTATATTTTTTTTCACTGGAGAAGTTTTTGAAAAAAAATGTGAGGTCTGAACCTAAGGAGTTGACTAGAATACGGGTCTCTCCAAAGATATTCTATGATATGGTTTTGTCACTCTCTGACTCCCAAAAAGAATGGGTGAGACTAGCTGGACTTGGAGGTCTTTTACAATTTGGATTAAAGGAACTGCCACATATGTTGGGGTACCAGATTCTGCAGTCCTTTGACAGTGAATTTGTTGCGCTTAATCTTCCCAGAGGATCAATAAGTATCACAGAGGAAGATGTACATTTGTACATCAAGTGATGGGATTACCTCTGGGCAGGAAGCGTATACCAGCCTCCAGTATTGGGAAGTCAGCTTTGGTGGATGAATGGAGGGCTCAATTCACAGACAGATTTGCTTGGAAAATTACTCCAGGGGCTGTGTCTGAGAAACTGAAGCAGAGTTCTGATGTTAACCTGTTTTTTAAACTCAATTTCTTGGTTCTCTTTCACAACAGCATGATCCAGTCGCTTAGCAATCCGTATGTCAACCAACGGATTCTAGTACTTGGTGATAATGTTGATCAGTGCTCTCAATACAATTGGTGTTCTTTATTACTTGACTCAATGATAGATAGCCAAAAAAAGTGGAAGGTTGACCCGACAAAACAATTCTACACGGGTCCTCTTGCATTCTTGATTGTAAGCCTTCTATGCCGATCGGGTTCTGTTCAAAGGTAGGAGGTTGGTTGAGAGAACAACCCCTACATTTTTAGGCTGGACTGACTTGGCCTTGAAGGAAAGACAGTCAGAGGAAATAAGTACAAATTCATTTGGCAAAGGTGCATTTACAGAGAGGGTTGAACTTGCACCTTCATCTCGAATGCAGATTGCTACTGGAAACTCGCCTAAAAGTGTTGATACAATTAGAAAGGTTAGCAAATTAAGTTGCAAGTCTTTGTTTATTCAATTTAATCTCAATTCAGTAGGAGTGAATCTCGATTCACTTAAAATGAATGTCGATTCAGTACAATGAATCGTTTTACTAGTAATGAATCTCATTTCAGATCAGTGATTATCGATTAAGTTAAACTGAATTCCGATTCACTTAAGTGAATCTGGATTCAATGATACTCAATATATATCAATTTACTGAAGTGAATCTGGATTCACTACTACTGAATCTCGATTCACTAAAGTGAAACTGGAATTATTTTAGTCGACTCTGGATTCAGACATTTGAATCTTGATACAAATACATTGAATATAATCTCAATCTATCGAATCTTGTCTCTCGCCATGTTAATAATTTATGGTGCCCAATGTCTGTGATATTAAAACTGCAGGATTGTATTGAGAGGGATCAACGGAGAGCTGCAGAGTTGGAATCTGCAAAAGATAAATATGATGCTGAGTGTGAGACAATGAGAAAGTTGTTCCCCAATGACAATGAGCTCTTTCAAATTCAACAGAGAGTTTCAAATGTTCTTGTGCAGGGGTGTGGACATCGTGTAAGTACCTGTGACGATGAAACAGCTGTGGGAAACATTGTTGATGATACCCCTAATGTGAACACCAAGGTGAGTAGAGATATGCATGGTTCCCCTGCCGTTGATCCAATATCAGCTGAGATACCACAAACACAAGTCTTCCCAAAGTTTATTCAAGAAGTTGATAAGATTATAGAGTCTGTTAGCATGAAAAAGGTTGACAGACCAGTGAGGCGGAAGCTCAGCTACATATTTGATTGTGTTATGTGACACTGATTACTTTTGATTAAACAGCACCAGAATTTTGTGAGATATTTGGCACACAAAAAACATCACAAGGCGAGTGAAATAAATACATTAACGCCTGACAGACTTGAGATGGAGTGGAGAACAGCCAAAAACAAATTTGATTGTGGTATTTTTGTCATGAGACATATGGAGACCTACATGGGCGGTGGTACAGCAAATTGGAACTCTGGTTTTCATAGAGAGGGTGTAAGTGTTTAAACTAATAATGTGTTGATAATTTACATTTAGTCTTTTTGAATTAATAAAATTTAGAATATAAAGCACATCAATTAGCTACTGAATCTTGAACTGAACTTTTATTCATATGGACAGGAGCGATTAAAAAATCAGCTACATAGACTGAGGTCTATATACTGTTGCCAAATTCTTACTGAACCAACAAATGAATTGGCCAAAGAAGTCATCAGCAAAGCCCAACAGCACCATGCTGAAACTGCCAATGTCAAAAAAAGAGACGAGGAAGACCACAAGATCTCAAAGAAAATGATATTCTGTAATCACCATAATTTTCAATGTTGAAGTTTACTGTTATTGAGTACATTGTCACTTAATGTTATAGAATACTCCAGTTTGTGTTGAACTGCTTTTCTATGTAAATATACTTTATAAGAATAGCTTTGTCATAATTTTATATCTAGATTTGTGAATAGTTTGGATATATGAAAATACTGTGAAGGTATTCAATGCAATTGGAAGAATTTCGATTTAAGCAGAGAATGTGATTTATATTTCAAGGTTTTATGTAACATAAAATAAATTAATCATACTTATTGTGGATTGTATGTATTTAATCTGGAATCACTATTTCAATATTATCTTAAGTTATTACTAATTTATTTGATTGAAACTAGATTCACTATACTGAATCTAGATTCAATGCAGTGAATCTCGATTCACTACACTGAAAAATTCAGTAAGTCAATATTATCTTAAGTTTTCAGTAATTTATTTGATTGAAAATAGATTCACTATAGTGAATTCATATTCATTTTAGTGAATCCAGATTCACTAAAATAAATCTATATTCATTATAGTTAATTCAGAATCACTTAAACCGAAACAATCAAATAATTTGATTATTTGATTGATTATAATGAATCCCTATAGTGATATGGAGATTCAATATCAGTGAATCTAGATTCACTACAATGAATCCAGATTCAATATAGTTAGTCCAGAATCACTTAAAGCGAATCAAATTTAAACTGATGACTGCATACAACTACTTTATCATTCCTTTTGAAATAATACAACTAATAATAATGGAATTCACATGCTATATGAGTAGATCTCAATTCAATATACTAACATGACACAACGTAACCATGTAATTAATAATCTAGTAAATATATGTAGTTAAGAATTACACAATTCAGCAATTTTAATAAGAAATATATTTCTAAACATGATTTTGAAACGAAATATGACAACTAAATTAAACATCACTCTGCTGTATTGTTTTCTTTAATGGGCATGTCCGTGCGTCATCGAAATCGATTTTTTTTGCACATATTACATATCCTTGGCACCTTCTTCTTTCATTGACTAATTGATTTCTCATAATCACCAACAATTCTCCGTCCACACCCCTTGTTTCTACCTTCAATGGGAGGTTTAACGATCACTTCCGCTGGTATTTTTGAGCCAACAAAAAACTCCATTACATCATTTTTGTTCTGTGTGTCAGATTTCCAACTAGATTCACGCAAACTGTGCTTCAACTCCTTCAACTTCCCTTCCAGGTAGTCAAGTCTCTCACCATCTAAACCTGCCAAACTCACACAGGATTGGAAATCATACCATATGTCATTCAACTTGCGATTTGTAACTTCAATTGCATTGCACTGTTCTGATATTTCCTTGAACTGCAATGAATGCCTCATCCCAGCACCTTTTGTCCATCGGTTCACAACAAGATGTCTTGGTATTTTTGTTACATCAGCTTGGTTCAGTGCAAAAAAACCATGTCTACATACTATACCCATTTTCTCAAACAGCCTACACGTACATTGCACGTCATTGTTCAAATAAGCGTGTTTCACCTAAAATTCAAAAAACAATGTATATTAGCACCGAATAAAAAAAGAAAATGACAAGCGAATGAAATGGTCACTGAATCTCGATTCAGTGGTGTGAATCGAGATTCACTTCATTGAATCGCGATTCACTGCATTGAATCTGGATTCAATTTTTATTGTTTCAATCTCCATTATTAAGTTTTACCTCAAATATTTTTCCATGTCTCTTTTTGTCCTTTATGGAAAAAATCTTCACGCCATCTTCTTCTGATATACTGTTGATACTCATATCATAACAGGATGACATTATCTCTTTCTGTACCTCATAAAACATTGTTCGAGTGTACAACTCTGCTGCATCCCTCTCCAATAACAATGGCGTGTCCATTCTTGGCATCGACTTTGTTCCTTCATAGTTTAATCTTGCGTTTGTATGCCTTTGCTTCTCCATAGCACTCTCGTATCGGAGATAAAATTCTGTCAATGTGTCAGATCTACGGTTGAATTTGTCAAAGAAACTGTTCTCACTCTCTGATATTGATATAGTACGCAATAAACCAGCCATTGGATCATCAACATAATAGGCTGGAATCCATGACTCCCGAATGTTATACAGTTCACACAACCATTCATTACTTTCAAGCTTATATTCTTTCATAACATCTTTCCAACCTACTTCAAATGTTGCTGGATCTATATCTATACTCCAAATCAGTGCATTTATCTTCCTCTTGAAATCATCCATCTTCGAAATGCATTTTGCCAACTACAATATAAATATATAACGAAAGATTCAGTATTTGTCTAATGAGGATTCATTATATTTATATGTGGGATTCATTACCTTTTGGTTAAATTTCTTCATGATGTGCCACATGCACAAACGGTGACGTGCTTCTGTAAAGACGGTTGGTATAGCTTGCTTCATGGCAGGGCACTGATCTGTAACAATACACTTTGGCTCGCGAATCATGCATTTCATGAATACCTCAAAAATCCAGACATAGTTATCAATGTCCTCTTTAGCTATCAATCCTGCTGCAAATACAACACACTTCTTATAATTGTCGAGACCAGTAAATGGAACAAACTTCATGTTGTACCTATTGTATCACATACAAAAAATATAAGATTCACTATGATATATAATAACAATATTGAAAATCGTAAGAGATTAACTATAAGATCTTACTTGTTTGTGGAATATGTAGAGTCAAATGATATCACATCTCCAAATACATCGTAATTTCTTCGCCCAATAACATCTGCCCAAAAGATGCGAGTTAATCGACCGCCTTCATCAACTGCATAATCATAGAAAAATCCATCACTCATCTCCTTCTTATCCGTGAACTTCTCGATGATCATTTGAGCATCTCGATCACCAATATAAAGCTTCACATCCCTACTCCAATTTTTAAACTCGGTACAGGTAGCACCAACATTAGAATAACTTCCACACAACTCCTTAGCAAAGTTATATGTTTTGTTAGGCCTCATGTTGGCTTTTGCTCCATCAAATACAAGTTTCTTATATGCGAGACCGAGAACTCTATTTGACTTCAAAAATTGTTTCCCACTACCGGAGACAAAAAAATGAGAATGCTCTTCAACGAAGGAGAGAACATTATATCCTTTCAAACCATCAAACTTAAAAACGACTTTAGCTTTGCAACCACATCTATTAGATACAGTTCTCATTCTCTTTTTCGAACTGCTACTAAAATCCTCATAATCAACATCCATCTTTGATTCATTGCTACCAGCTCTACTGCAAACAATGTGTTTAAGAAGAACTGTACCATCCTCATGTTTCTTCTCTGTATGCCATCTGATCTCAATCCTCTAGTGATCGGAAGCTTTGGTTTAGATAAGGTTTAAATTCAGTAAGAAGAACTGTACCATCCTCATGTTTCTTCTCTGTATGCCGTCTGATCTCAAACCCACTTTTACGTCCATAATCTCGGTAAAACTCTATACCATCCTCTAGTGATCGGAAGCTTTGGTTTATATAAGGTTTAAATTCAGCTTCAACCCGAGGTTTCCAATACATACCATCACCTGGTGATTGAAAAGGAATCTAGCTAACTTCGTCCATTCCATCTTCCCCAAAATCACTGTCCGATGCATTTATAACATGTGGTTCCTTTATTTGTTCATTGCTGCCTACAACTGAAAATAAAACATAAATCATATGGCTATGTTTTGATATATTGAATCTGGATTCATTACAATTGATCTGGTTTCACTTGAGTGAATCTCGATTCACTGCATTGAATCCAGATTCACTACAGTAAACATGTGAATACATTATGAAAATCACTGAATACTCTAACAACTAGAACGTGTTCAACTGATTCACTACATTAAACATGTGAATACATTATGAAAATCACTGCATACTCTAACAACTAGAACGTGTTCAACTGAATTCAAGCTCTCCAACTAAATTTACATAAAATGTTTACGAATGTAAACTCGTAGGTAATAAGTCATATGACTAAGTTTTGATATACTGAATCTGGATCCATTACAATGAATTTAGATTCACTGGAGTGAATCTAGATTCACTGGAGTGAATCTTGATTCACTGCATTGAATGCATGTTATTGCTAATTAATCTGGAGTGAATCTCGATTCACCGCATTAAATCGAGATTCACTACAGTAAACAAGTGAATAAATTATGAAAATCACTGCATTCTCTAACAATGAATCTCGATTCAATGCAGTGAATCTAGATTAACAACTAGAACGTGTTCAATTGAATTCAAGCTCTCCATTTAAATCTCCAAAAAATATTTAAGAATGTAAGCTCCTATATAATAAGTCATATGATTAAGTATTGAAATACTGAATCTGGATCGATTACAATGAAAACATGCATGAACCTGCTCACCTGAATTCAAGCTCTCCATTTAAATCTCCATAAAATGTTTAAGAATGGCCAGATAATTGACGATGAACGAGAGAGCTCAAATACGATGAAGGACAGATGAACGAGAGAGCTGAAGGACAGATGAACGAGAAAGCTGAAGGATGATGAAGCTGGTTGTGGAGAAAGAGCTGAAGGACGATGAACGAGAGATGCTGGTTGTGGAGTGAGAGGACTGCTGTTCCTGACTGTTGGGTTGCCTGAGCCGTGAGATTGCATGGGGAAATGGAGAACTCAATAGACAAGCATTAATTACCTCTCTTTAGGGGCTGTTTATTTTACCTGATTACCCTTATGCAGATTTAATCTCAGCCATTGGATGAATCCAGATCTAATGGAGAAGATTGGTTTTTAGTTTTTAGGATAGTAAGGTTTTTATTTGAACCTCTCCCTGCACATGAGAATATTGATAGGAGTATGTTGTTATTTATTTAACAGAAGTTAGCAATGTGTTACTTTTTGATAACTTGGAGTATTTTTACGATACTTTTTACGACTTTGGGTGTTTTAAGTGTAAAGATAGTGAAACATTAGAGTATTTACGTGCCATTTAGCCTATTTTGCTGCTATAATTTTTAAAGGGATCCATAGCAATATTGTAAATTACTGTTTTAAAATTACTTCTGATTTGAATTTGCCGCCATTTAAAGCTAAATAATTCGACAGACCATACGTACAAATTTTGTTTAAATTATCACAAGGATCAGCCCACCACTATGTAATTAATCGAAGAAAATTATCGAATTATAGTTGCGACTCTTTGAGGCTAGCTTATAAGGCATTGAAATCCACTGAATCGTTCAGATCAGCTGGACCTAATTAAAATCATGAAACCACCTAATGATTATTAACTGCAGAATCTAACTAGATTTAGGAATTTAAATTACGATCAGAACCGCACTTCAATCAAATACTTAAAACTCCAATAATAAATTAACTGCAGGTTTTATGGAGGTAAAAAGAGAAAAAGAAAAAGAGTAAGTTTGTGAGATGATGAATTTCAATGCCAATTGTTTCTTCAATTTGGGGATATTTTATTAATTATTATTTTTATTCCTTTGCTTTTAAGAGGGTTTAAGGACTGACACTGAAAGGTCTCAGTTGGAATTTAAAGTCTTACTTTGCAGGGCCGGCTCTGAGGGTGTGCGAAGGGTGCGACCGCACAGGGCCCTCGAAAATTGGGGGCCCAAATTTTTTTTGGGTAAAATAGGTTGTATTCTAAAACTGGGGGCCCAAATTTAGAATACAAATCTAATCACGTGACAAGCCAACATTAAACTTGTAATAATCCTAACTGAGATCAAAATCCAAAGAATTTAGCAATAACAACAAAATAAAGGGAAAAAAAATCGTAATAAAGAGCTTCGATTATATACCTGCTCACAGAAGCTCATGTTCCTAGTGAAACGATACACACTCCCCATACCCAACCTCAGGGCCGGCTTTGAGGGTGTGCGAAGGGTGCGACCGCACAGGGCCCCCGAAAATTGGGGGCCCAAATTTTTTTTTGGTAAAATAGGTTGCTTCCAGCTCCGTGACCCTTCTCCTCCCCCCCAAAACCAGCTCCCCAAACCAAATCTCTCTCCCCCTTTTCTCAAAAACCTTCTTCCTCCCCAAACTAGATCTCCCCCCCCCAAACTCCAAGACCCTTCATCCTCCCCAAAACGAAGCCTCCCAAAACGGTATCGAATCGACCTCTCTCTCTGCCACGACACCGCCAGATCCGCTCAGATCTGATCTCCAATGGCGTCGAGAGAGGGGTTCGTCTACATCACCAAGCTCGCGGAGCAAGACGAGCGCTACGATGGTAAGATCTCTCGATTCAGATCTACGGCAGCTCTACAAATGGACTCCGATTTCTCCATCAAAAAACGATGGAGTTCCTGCCACACCCGAGGACCCGTCGAAGAGGAAGTTTCGCTATGTTCCGGTATGATTCATCTGTTGTTTTTTATTATAGTGTGAGAAATTTCATGCTTTGGCTGTTCTTTAAAATCCCTTTTGTTCATTATGATAATTTCTGTCGATTTATTTCATCCAAAATAGTAATTTAGGACGTGGGTTTTTCTTTTGGATACTCCTGGATGTAAATTTGGTGTTTTATATGGAATCATAACTTGAGTATGATCTGATTTTCGGAGTTCTTAAAAGAGTATTGAAGTGTTCCTGAATTCTTATTCGGCAGAGAGTGAGGCTTTATTTTGGTAGAGAACCAGAGGGATGCTACTATTTTTTTGGGACATAGGAAATGTGGCTTCTTGGTCATTGGATGTGCGTGAGGTTCTAAGAAACAAAAATAGTTGAAACCATTTAAAGAGGATGAGCAAGAAGGTGGTTATTAGAGAAGTTGATTGCTTGCAGGAAGGTGATGACATTTGCCGATGACGGGCACTCAAATTTATTGATATTTTGTATATAGAGAAGAGCCATGTGTTTACTTTTCGCACAAGGCCCCTAAAATCTCAGAACCGGCCCTGTTACTTTGTATACATTTTGTGAAAATATGCATAAATACCGAAGAGCAAAATGGGTTGTCCTCTAATTATAACTGCAATATAAATCCCAGTTTAATATTAATGTACGAGAAGGATCTTCTGCTAACGGCTTCTAGGGCAATTTGGTAATTGTCAGTAATTTTGCTACATGCTTCATCGTAATCAATCTGGGGCATGCAGGAGGGAGGGAGAATGGCAAGTGTTCAAGAACTTTAGGGCACGGTTGTTTTGGGGAGAGGAGAGATGGAGAAGTAAATTTAAAATATGTTTGCTGTGAGGATTTTCCTTAACGTGAGGGCGTTTTGATCCAATTATGGGTTTCTTGATGGTGTTTACCCAAAAGTAATGGAATTTAGATCGAACAAATACAACCCCACTAATGCAACTATCAAACAAACCCTTAATACGTACAGAGACGAACTAGCAAATCTATTACTCAAATGAAACAACCAAAGAACTGTAGAAACGACGAAAATAGTTGAGGAGTTCAGGAAAAATAAAGCGGGAAGGATTTTGGATGCAATCCGGTCGATTGCGGAGCAAGTCCGGTCAATCGGAAACGTGCACACTACAAGGTAATTGGTGTTTGGTATAAATACCAATACACGTTTCTGACGACCGCAAGGATAGGTCGGTCGACTGCGAACCCTATCCGGTCGACCGGACCACATTGTCGGTCGACTAAAACCTTGTAATTGATTTTGTCGAGATTTCGTGTTTCTGGCCGGTCGACCGCGGCTTCAAGGTCGGTCGACCGGATCGGGATTTTGGGCCTGGTTTGGGTTTCCTGATCTGTTTGGGATTGGTGTTTGGTATAAATACCAACACACGTTTTAGGGTTTTGGGGAGAGCAGTATTGGGGATATTTGGAGCACAGAAAAAGAGAGGTTTCTGGAGCTATTGGTTAGGGTTTTGTTTTAGAGATTGAGAGCTTTGTGTGAGAGGTTAGTTTATGGATTTGTAATCTCTATTTGTACTATTCTTCTTTATTAGTGAAAACCCATCCCCTTCTTACCCTGTGGACGTAGGCAACTTTCCGAACCACGTAAAATTTGTTGTTTGTGTTCTTGCCGTTATTTTGGATTGTTTGGCATTCTCTCTATTGTCATTGATATTTATTCTCGGCACCCTATCGATTTGGCTGCCGCGAACAACAAATGGTATCAGAACATAACAAGGACTTCATTAGATGATCTCTGATGGAACCAAATATCTTTGCAACAACTCATGAATTAATTAATCTCTCATGGAAACAAAATAGAAAATTACTTACATTAATTGGGACCAGACACTGAGGACCGACCGTTAGACGATCACGGCGCGTTAATAATAACTAGAAGCCCAGAACAAGACTCCTTACTGGGCCGAGCTGAAGGCCTGACTTCAAATGCACCCAACCCGTAATTAAAACCTCTACACATCACATACAAAATTTTACTCTCAACGGTCTAAATCTCAAAGCTCGTAATTTCGTTTCTCCTTCCCAAAACTCTCACCTTTTTCTCCCCATGAACCCTTCGTCCCCAGATCTCCGCTTATGGAAAATCTCCATTCGAGCCAAATCCAGGCTCTTCGATCTCAGACTCAACGCCTCAAATGTGTTCCCTAATCTTGGAAATGGCGGTGAAAGGATCTCCTTCCTTCTCCGCCTCCGCCGCCTCCTCTTGGTCAAAGTGAAATCAGAGAATCGAGATTTATCAAGAAGAGAAGTGAATCAGAGATCGAGTTTCTTCAGGTTCGTAGGCAAGATTTTGAGGAGAAAACAGCGCCGAATGGATCCTCATAACAGATCACGAGCACGAGATCGTGCCACTGAAACTCGGCATAGACATGGTGGCTATTTTCTTGGTCAGGTAACTTCCACCCCTTTTTAAGATTTCGGCATTATTTCTTGGCATATGTATAATCAAGGAATATATGGAAAAGGTGCCTAGTTTATGTACAATATGCATATTTAGCCCGTGCTAAACACGGGCTCGCTTGCATTTTGTTTTGTATCTCAAATTCTCGCTGTACCCATTGTACACCTTGCTGGTGTTGTTGTGATCTTCCTATAATTTGCTAAGTCCGTATATCTTACGATTTTTGGATAAATGACGGAATTCCTGATAAAAGTACGTATCATTTGTCTTCAGATAATGGGACTTGATATATTAAATTTGTCACAGAGTTACATAAATAAAATCTTGGAATAATGATAATTTCATTAGAGAGTTGATTGGGAAAAGTATCCTAGTTATCTAGAAGGAAAATGATTTAAGGACCCAAAATATGGGACCAAGGGAGGGGATAGGTGATGTGGCCCCTCCCTATTGCATAATGAGTTGGCATGGCCAACTCATTATGCAATAGGGAGGAGACACCTCACATGTCCCCTCCCTTGGTCCCATATTTTGGGTCCCCGTAGCAGCACTCTATCTAGAATATGCTCTATGACCCTTTTCCAATACGGTAGATTTCACTAAACCCCCTTAAGTTTGGGCGTTTCTCAGATACTCCCCTTAACTTTCAAGATGTCACAAAACCCCTTAAGTTGTGGGTTCTCAGTTCAACTTTGAACATTTTACAAAACACCCCCTAAATGCGTGAACCAATATTTTCACGGGCAAAAATATCCCTCTCCTAAATTTTACTCACCCATATGTAAATTGCGGTTAGCGCCAGTAGTTTTTTTTAATCTAATGTTGAAAATTGAAGGATGTTTCCTGAGAACCCCAAAACTTGAGGGATTTTGTGACGTTTTGAAAGTTAAAGTGGCTATCTGGGAAACGTATAAACTCAGGGGCATTTTCTGAAAGTCACCCCTTTTTATGAATATTTTCCGAGAAAATTAAAGAACGTAGTTTGCTTAACGAGTTTGTATACTAATAAATACTTAATCAATATGCAGGGCCCTATGGCAGCCATTGCTGGAAGTTTTTCTCTTCTCACTCACTCGGCGTCTGAGAAGAATCATGAAAGGATTAGCATTCATGCTTTCTCCCTTTTCTTTTACTTAGTTCTTTTGTTTAAATTGAGGAAAACAAAATTTTCTTTAATGTTAGTTGCAACAACAATTTCTTTCATTGGATTTTCTCTAAGTTATTTGAGTTACACCTGTACAGATATTGTGACAAAAGCTGCGTGGAGGGCTTGGAACATTATCATTTCTATCGGGTGTTTATCTTTGTTTTCCCAAGTTAGTTCATCCTCATGTTCTCTTTCCATATACGGATGTTATGTAGCATATTGGTTGAAATTGAAGTGTCAGTTTGCACTCATAAGCATCCTATATGTACATTTATCATACTTTTGTGCTTATGCTTGCTTTATGTCAAAAGGTAATCAAAGTAGCTTAAAGAGTTACAACTTCAATAAGAAAATATAGGATAAAGAAAGATGTCGTTAGTCTTTTTCAATGTCTCATTGTGTAGAGTGGTGTTTTCAACATTTTGAAGATTGATACTATAAAGGTTCACGCAGTTGATCATTATTGTTTCGCTGGGTAATAGATTGCTCTTTCATTCTTGTCAGGTTTTCTTTAATAGCAGTATTAGTAACCATCAATGTTGCATTCGTGTCAGGAAAAATTGGTTGAGATACATGTTTACTTTACTGTACTCCATGTTTTGTACATGCTATTTCTGATGTTCTGCAATGTAAGAGTGGTTTTCCAAACAACATTATCATTGTTTCTCTTTATTATTAAGTTTTATGGTTATTTTGTAATTTTTCTTATTCTTAATCTTGATGTACTAGTATAACTGTAATCCCTGATCTTTGTTATAGCCTTATAGGTATGGTATCACAGAACATGGTAACGTGCAACAAAGTTTGATGTAAGGAAGATCATGACAGTGTGTTTGACAGTTAGATGAAATACATGGTAATTATCTGATGCCAATTAGTCTTAAACCGATCATCCAATTATATAGTTAAGCATGCTCAGATTGGAGCAACTTCACGATGTGTATCGCACTGGACATGACTTATTTTGTTTTCTTTTGTATTAGCATTTTTTAAAATTTACTAAAACAAACTAAGAAGCATTGTCACCAGTAATAGGCAGGGCTTTTGTATTAGCATTTTTTAAAATTTACTAAAACAAACTAAGAAGCATTGTCACCAGTAATAGGCAGGGCATAGCAGAAAATCCAAAATGGGATTTACTAAAACAAACTAAGAAGCATTGTCACCAGTAATAGGCAGGGCATAGCAGAAAATCCAAAATGGGATTGCAATAACATGACAAAACTTTCATGTTTTACTCATATCGGACGTGTACAACTTGGTTTCAGCATCTGTAAAATGTTTGAAATACAGTCAGTTGGAGTATTCGAAATAAGTCATTTTTCCCAAGATGGTGCAGATATGCTAAGCTAAGTGTTTGAAGTCAACAGTCACTGTATCATGTATGATTGGCTGGATGAATTTTATAAACTTTTCAAGGAACGGACTTTCATATAAGATTATACTTCATTTTTCATTCTCATGACCTGGTGAATACAGTCATTTTTCCTTCTCATTACCTGATTAAGACAGTTGCAAGATATCATTTTAACCTATCTCCTCTGTAATTGAATTCTAGGTGCTACTCTCAAGGACTTCACTTCTTGTTCGGAGGAATCTGATTCTGTGGCTTATTATTTCAGCTTTCATGCTGTTCTTTCTATACAAGGTATCAAAATGAGATCACAAGCCTCATTAGTTTCTATTGTAACTCAATCTATAATTTATTGTTTTAAAAGAAGTTGATTGCCATAAATATTAAATATTTACCTGAGATAAGATACTCAGTACCAATTTTACTTTTAGGCATTTGAAAATGTTGCAATGAAAACAATACTGACTTTAATACCCTAATACTTCACGCGCTAAGTAGCCTATGCGTCAAAGTTGTTGAGAGCTTACTGGTATTTCTGAAAACTTGGATTGTGGTTTATAAATATTCATCTCTTGCACCAAACAGCTGCATTTGCATCTAGTTCATCCAAGGAAGTAGTTTAAGAGTGATAGACTAACAACTATTATCATTAAAAGCGTAGTCTGCTTATGATCCAAAATTGAGGACTCGAATTGTTGGATGGTTCAAAGTGGTTACTGAATCATTCTTGGAGAAAGAAGGATATCTTTGGCCATCATTCTTTCTAGGGTAAGAAATTGACGACTCAAATTGTTTGATGATACGGAGTGGTTACTGAATCATTTTTGGAGGAAGAACAATGGCTTTGGTCATCATTCTTTCCAGTGTAAATTTCATAAATCCCCAAGAAGTTTGGTTGATTTTGAGACGACCCTGCAAAAAGTTTTAAAATGTCTATTTTTATGATCCGAAACTTCAGACTTGATTTGTTGGATGGTTCGGGGTATTTACTGAACCACTCTTGGAGGAAGAGGATGGCTTTACCCATCATTCTTTCAAGGGTCAAGTTCATAATATCCTTAAGAAGTTGGCCCATTTTGAGGTGATCTCAAAAAGTTTAGAAACTTCAATTAACCCTCAAAAGTTTTAAATCCCAAAAATTTGAGGGCTATCTGAAAATAGGTTCAGACAACTATAAAAGTTTGGGGATTAAGTGACATTTCTCAACCTTCTGGGGGTTATCTCAAAATTGGCTAAACTTCTTGGGGGTATTGTGAAATTTACCCTTTTTTGAAAGTGGAAAGTTTGGGTATCTTCTTTGACAGCGAGAAAATCTACATGGCACGAAAAGAAGAGCTTGTTCACCCTTTTTTCATGTTTTGCTTCTTTTCCCATTAATCCAATTTTTTAAAACAGTCCCTTTTAAATTTTTATTTTTAAAAATCGACTTTGTTTTTTTTATTTACCAAAATCAACCCGTTTTTTTGATTAGCAACCTAATCACATTCCTAAATAGTCGGGGTTGCCAACCCCGACTATTAAGGACTTACATTTGTATGGTTTAAGACTTCTAATTAGGGTTTAACACCCTCCTAAATAGTCGAGGTTGGCACCCCGACTATTTAGGAATGTTATTAGGTTGCTAATAAAAAAAACGGGTCGGTTTTGGTAAATAAAAAAAATAAGGTCGATTTTGAAAAATAAAAATTTAAAAGAGGCTGTTTTGAAAAATTGTTCAATGTTTGAATACTGATGAGAACTAATCTTGTAGATCCTAATCCTCTAGATCCTAATGTCTATTATTCTAATCATGCTTATTGTGACTAGTCCAATCATGTCGAGTGCAAATCATGGTTGTAATATAATTTGATAATTGTTCAAATTTCTGCATGTAGTATTTGTGCAAGCTAAGCGTGTATAAAGATACCCGCAGTTCAAAATCTGGCTCTCACGTATTTTAAGACGGGAATGGATGCAAAATATGGTTAAAGGTGAAAATGCAGGATTGTCTGTTGTAACTTAGTTAAGGGTTAAGTTTATCGCATTCAATTTTTAGGATGATTTGTGACGCCCCTTTAGAAGGAGACAAAATAGTGATCAAAACTTCAAGTCTATCAATAACTTCATATGGTAGAAAACTTATGGAGAACTTATAATCTGATGGATTTGTCTAGAATCCAATAAGCACCTGAGACCTTGGTTCGTTGAAATTCTGAATTTAAATGAAGAAGATGCTTTTGACAAGCATTTACTCACCTCAGGAACTATTCAATAACAGCAAACATTAGTTCATATAATTAATGCAAGAATTGTGGGTTTGATTTGCTATTAGAAGCAATTGTTTCCTTTTAAATGTGAATTCTATAAACTTCAACTGTTCAAGCCAACCAGATATTACTCTTAGAGACCAGTATGTCTTCGTGATTCCCTACATTATGATGCACAACTCTAAGCAATTACTAGTCTTAGTAGTAGTTAACCTGATTTTTTGTGTGCACTAACTTGTTGACGTTTTTTTTTTTGTGTGTAGCTGAGAAGAGAAATGTTATTCAGATGCATGAACTGTGCATTGGAAGCTGCTCCTATTTTAATCTCTATTCTGCTATTTCCTTGCCAAGCATTATTCCAAACTGTAAGCCATAGCAAAGCTTAACTTCGTTTTTTCTTTTTAGCTATTGGATTCAAATCCATCAGAGCCTAAGTTTAGCAGCGGCTGGGAGAATCTGAAACTGAAATTTCCTATCAAGCAAAATTATACATGAAAGAGTAGGAGCTAAAACAGTACTCATACTGTTAAATGTGATTATTGACTTGTTTGTTGATTCTATCACGCAGTTTGGTGATCATAAGGACCCTGGAGTATTGGGACTCTACTTTTCTTCAACATACTTTTGGGGGAGGAAGTTGATCAAACTTATTGTTACAACACTATTGCAAAGGCACTAAATGCATTCAGCTCAGCTACATTTATATTTTTGAATGTGAAATCATGCAGCAGAATTAGTTGTGATCAATTTTACTTGGACGATGTTAACTTAGAGATCATAATGATGATTTTTCTTTTCATTTGTGAAGTATAAAATGCGAGGACCCTTTATTATAAGTTTCTTTTATTCTTCTATGTTTCTATTTTTCTTCATTATGAATGGTATCTAGTTTTCGCGTAACTTACATGTATACAATGCCATTGCCATGAAAGGAGCTTAGTTTTCAGTTGGACGATGATATTGCATGTTTTGTAATTCAACTTACCTAAAGCAAACGGAAAGAAGCGTCGGAGTTCAAAGCTGGGATTCTCTATGTCAAGCCCTTGTCTTTGTCTATACCTTTAGAAAGGGCGTCAAAGTTCAAACTAGTGTTTCGAGTATTTAATTAAGTGCAACTAAAACAATTTATAGAAGAAAAATATTAACGTTGTGAGATGCATAATGACAGAGTACATCTAATAAATAATAATATCGACGTTCACATAAAAAACGGATAAATTAACATTAATATGCACATCCAATTATGACGAGTAAGAATACGAATGCCATTTTTCTACTAGAGACAGATAGGATAAATATATGGGTAAAAATCATATTCAAATATGGATGTGTGTTTGTGTATCTAGGGGTTGTGCCAATATTTTTTTAGGTTGCACATACTTTATTAGTCCTATGTGTTCCTGTGATATCTTGTAGTTTTCACGACTTTGCACCTGTGGTGTTGTACTAGATACAAATACTCTTATTGTTTATTAAAGTTGCATGTTTGTACTTTCCACTGGTTAAATGTTGGAATATTATCGTCAAATTTTGGGTATATAAGTGCAAAGTCATGTAAACTAAAGGTATTTAAGTGCTATTTAGACATATATCCTATCAATTTATTTTAAATTTTGGATGAAATGACCAGGTCCCCCCCACCCCCACGCCCAACAGGTATTGATGAACTCTCTACTTCCCCTAGAAAAATTCAATTTTCTTGGTCACCCCTTAAACTACGTGTACGCAACCAATGTGATAATTTTCTTAGCCAACAGTTAAATATTTAATAGATTAATCATGTGACAATGCTTCTTTTGTATTATTTGTATTTTCTAAATTCAATTTCAAAAAGGGTAAAAAGTTTTGGAGAAA